CCAGCGGGACCCAATATAATCACATGAGTCCTTAAAAGTGGACACTCCTTCCTGGCTCTAGTGGGAGAGATGTGAGAAAGAAGGGTCAGAGAGATGCAATGTTGCTGGCCTTGGACATGGCCAGAGGCGGCCAGCAGACCAAAAGCATGGGGGTTGCCCCCCAAAGCTGGAAAAGCCAAGAAAACAGATTTTCTCCTAGAACCTCTAGAAAGGAACAGCCCTGCTGACACCTTGACTTTAGCCCAGTGAGAACTGTACTGGACTTCTTTTTTTTTTTTTTTTTTTGAGACAGAGTCTCACTCTGTTGCCCTGCCTAGAGTGAGTGCCGTGGCATCAGCCTAGCTCACAGCAACCTCAAACTCCTGGTCTCAAGCGATCCTTCTGTCTCAGCCTCCTGAGTAGCTGGGACTACAGACATGCGCCACCATGCCCAGCTAATTTATATATATTATATATATTTTTAGTTGTCCAGATTATTTCTTTCTATTTTTTAGTAGAGACAGGGTCTCGCTCTTGCTCAGGCTGGTCTCGAACTCCTGACCTTGAGCAATCCACCCGCCTCGGCCTCCCAGAGTGCTAGGATTATAGGCATGAGCCACCGTGCCCAGCCTGTACTGGACTTCTGACCTACAGAATTGTAAGAATAAATTTGTGTTGTTGTAAGCCACTACATTATGGTTATTTGTTACAGCAGTAACTACAAATTAATACATCTTAGTTTCTCTGCCTGTAAAGCAAAGGGACCGTCTCTTGGCCCTACCCTGAGTCACAGTCTAAGCTTCTGACTGCCCTTTCCTAAATTCTTATTCAGTAGGGATGTTGGAAATAGTGGCACAGGTCAGGGAGTCATAGAGGGCACACCCCCAAAACCCAAGTGGGGAGGACAGAGAGCTGGATTGAGGACCTTTGGTCCAGCAAATTGCATTGAACAAATGTCTGGTTACTAGAAACTTCAGAGATAGATGTAGGAACTTTAGAAGATTAACATAATCCTCTGGGAAGGAGTGTTATTTTAATTTGTCAGCATAAATTACTAAATATGTAGCCTGCCATGTGTCCCCTCTCAGCCCCAGGGAATTTGGCTTCTGCAAGATTCTAATGACTTAAATTGTGATGCCACCATAATTATAGTGTTATTAATATTTAATGACCATATTGTCCTCTGTTCTATAATGAAAGTATTTTAAAAGTAAAACTGGCAAAGGTAAAGAAGAGAAATTAGCCCTAAAGTATTATCACTTGGCTAACTAGAGAACTGAAACTTAACACAAGGTCTCAAAGAGCTTTGGTTCACATGGAATGTGTTTGTAAACCAGGCTCAACATTTGATTTGACAAAAGAAAGAAAATGCAATTTCTTAAAATGGTGGTAAAAAATACATAACATAAACCATTAACCATTTTTAAGTGTTAGGTTCAGCCATGTAAGTACATTCACATTGTTGTGAACCAGATCTTCAGAACTTTTTAATCTTGAAGAACTAAAACTTTATACCCATTAAAAACCAACTCCCTATTCCCTCCTCCCCGCAGCCCCTGGTAACCACCATTCTATTTTCTGTCTCCATGAATTTGACTACATTAGATACCTCAAATAAGTAGAATCATACGGTATTTGTCTTTCTGTGGCTAGCTTATTTCACTTAACCTAATGTCCTCAAGCTTCATCCATGTTGTAGCACATGTCAGAATTTCCCTTCTTTAAGGCTAAATAGTATTCTATTGTATGTATTATTATATATCGCATTTTGTTTATCCACTCATCCATTGATGGACATTTTGGTTGTTTCCACTTCTTGGCTATTGTGAATAGTGCTGCCATGAACATGATTGTACAAATATCTCTTTGAGACCCTGCTTTCAATTCTTTTATACATATACCCAGAAATGGGATTACTGGATCACATGGTGGTTCAATTTTTAATTTTTTGAGAAACTATTATATCGTTTCATCCATGGTGATGAAACCATTTTACAATCCCACAAACAATGTACAAGTGTTCCAATTTCTCCACATACTCACCAACACGTATTTTGAGCTTTTGTTTGTTTTATCATAGCCCTACTAATGGGTATGAAGTGATTATCTTGTAGTGGTTTTGATCTGCATTACTAGAAAATGTCATTTTTATGAGGCAAGTTCATATTTTCAAGGCAATGTCACAAATCATATTTCCGTATCTCAGCACAGAGATAGCCATTGAGAACACAGCAGAAATTTGTGGATAAATTCTGCATAGACTTGCTGTTCATTTTCAAACATTTGAGCACAGTCTATATCTGTATTAGGCAAACTCTAGCAACTTAAAATCTAATAGTGGGGACAAGATAGATACAAACACATGCCAGTTAGTAAGAGAGACAAGCATTTTCCACTCACATTACTTTAATGTTCATACATATATTCTATTTTCCAAATTACATATCAGTCCATATGCATCACGTAAATTTTTCAAATCTCTAATATTTCCACTAAGATGCATATTCTACTTTAGAATCTTTCTGCATTTTTACATTTATATGAATAAATTAAATAGTATCTCTACAAATATTCAAATAATATATATATTTTGGGTTATTATGTAATATGAAATAATTACGTATCAATGCAGTATTCTTTCCATTTATTTATATGTGACACTGAAACAAGGTTTTTACACAAAAGACTGTTTTTATTTTAATAAAATTTACATGAATTATGGACAGTCTATTTGTGTGGAAGCCCCCACTTACCCCCTTTTCAGATATATTTTCCATTTGGCTATATATAACATATACCTTGGCATGAAATAAAATTCCAAAATCATTCAGGTAGTACAATTAAAGAATTTGAATTATATTTTTAAAGTGTTAAAAAGAAAAAGATAATTTTTTAAGGTTCAATTAAAGTGATTTCTTATTTTCCTACTCTTCATCCTTTAACCTACTTCCCAGAGTTTGTTTTAAGTTGAAGCAATTCTCTACTGAAGCATTACCATGTGGTTTTAGAATATTCTGCCTGTTCTACATCTGTTGAGAATAAAATGTTTAGATGTATCATTAAGCTCATCAAGACAAAATATTGGGGCATCAATCATAACCCTTTTAAAATGCATGCCCCTGAGAACAGACTGGTTCTTGAGACAAGAGAAAATAAGTTACCCTTCATTTCTACTGCAGAATAACTTCCAAAAACCCGAACTATGCTGCCCGGTATGGTAACCACATATGCGCAGGGACCCCAGTTTCCCCTGCTTTTTCTCTGTGCTGATCAAGAAACACAGAGGGCCTTGACTGCTCTGTGACCCAGCCAGCTACATGTTTTCCCTGCAGGCTTGAACCCAAGCCCAGGCCTTGAACATTCTCAGGCACTAATAAAGGTGTTTAGGTTGTTGCTGGAAACACTGGAAGATCAATCATGTTGCTAAACACATAGAAGCCAGCCCCGCCCCCAGCCAAATTCCTTAAACCATCATGTGAACTCTGAACCCAACCCCTTCACTGGGGATGTGCTTCGGTAGAACATCCCTTGTCTCACTATCCATCACAAGGAGCTACAGCCCATTCTGTAGGTAAGTCCCCCTAATAAATGTCTGGACTGATCACCCTGGCATTTAGTGCTTCTTTTTCTGGAATCCCTGACAGGGTGCCATCTTGGGACGGTTTGGGACACTCCCTCATGGGAATTACCCTGCTGTCACTTTGGGGGCTACTCCAGCCTCAAGTGTGGCCTGACAAAACAATGTGGCTATTTAAATTTAATTTAAAATTTAGTTCTTCAGTCACAGCAGACACTGTTCAAGTGCTCAAGAACCACATGTCTGGAGGTTGCTGCACTGGACAGCACAGACATGGAACATTCCTGGCACCGTAGGAAGCTGTATGGGGCAGCAAGGCACCGGGGCACAGAGGTGTTGATTCATGTGTAAATATTGACTGTGTGCATATTTTCCTTCTGAGTCACAAAGGCTACTTGTCTGAGCTTATCTTCAACACCACCAGTCACAATCCTGTTTATTTTAGCACAAGACAGTGGTATAAAAATAAGAGATTGTGTACGATCTCTCCAAATCACATAATGTGATCTAAGAGCACAAAGCCCCGTAATGAGTCCCATCCTGGCCAACGACAAATGCCATCCCATGGGCTCCCTCTGGACCGAGGCATCTTTGCCAGGGCACAGTTCTCCTTTGGTAGCCACAAGGAAGCCTTGCTAGGGACTCAGCAGTGTAGATTAGTCCTCTCCGTTACCCTACATGGCCACCTCTAGGGAAGGGGCCCTGAGGGCATTGTTTCTGCTCTTTACTCTGAGGTCAGTCCCAGGACCCCCGAGATGGCCACTCAGGCCAGGATGGCCACCGACGCAGACCATTTAAGGCTTCCCATGAACAGCCAGGCCCACACTTCCTCAACCAGGGCTGCCCACGTACCATCTGAGCATCTCGTGCCCAAAGCATGGGCAGACATTCCAGCCTTTCTACCTTCGAGGACCACATTGTACCTAAAGTCTCTCCTAAGAGCCAACACTTGGCCAAAATATAATTTAAAACATATGGAAATAGCAATCGATATAAGCCCAAGGAAAATTATTATTAGTAAAATTAAAACTCTTTCAAAATAATAAACTCACATCTGACTAGTCCAATATAAATGCTCTTTTCACAATCCCTTTATCCCTTAATTCCTGAAAATAATGCACTCAACTTCAGAATTTGGTCTTTAAGCTATAATTTTAAAAAATAATACATTTTAAAAAATATTAAATATGCACTATTTGGAAACAAGTGTATGCAAATGTACCTGTAAATATCAATATTTAAACCAATTTATCAATTCTCCAGTCCATGGAGGGAGGTATTCATATATTTGAAATCTTAAAATCGTTTTTCTTAACAACTATGATAGTGGTTTCTAGACTTTGTCCTTAAGCACAAGCCATTACTCCTATACGACATGACCCATAACACAAAGATTTAAAGCTCCACAGGATAGTAAGATTTTGCAGTCTTCTGCTGGACGATATCAAAGTTGAAGGCTAAAAGATACTTTGGTGGTATAGCTGGGAACAGATTCTGTAATAAAAAGAAAAAATATGCTGAACCATTCACCATTTCATTATGAAATATAACTACACAGCATGGCCTATTGCAATACACAAATTATCACCACTTCATGTTTTAAGTATAGAGATAGTGCATAGGTGCTAAGTAACACATTTATCACCATTTAAGTCAGCCATCGCAAACGTGTAGTCAAGCTTAAGAAATGTTTAGATCTAAGATACAGTCATTAACTTTCATTCTTTTGCAATCTTTCCAACCAACTCACACAACTACATCAAGATCTCGGAAACTGCATGACCCTGTAGAAATAAAAGCTGACAGAATAGAAACAGATGGACTTGGGATTGTGGATACCAGGTGGAAGGGAGAAGTTCGGACTACTCCTATGCCAAGCCCGATCGTACTAGGTAAACCTCCCAAACTTGTTCTTCCTGCTAGTTAGTGGCCCTCTCTCTCTCTTCCCAGCTAAATCTTGTCAAAGGATGTCTGCATAGCAACAGTCCTCAGGCACAAGGCATCAACGCCACCTGGAAGCTTGTTAGAAATGCACCTTCTCAGCTGTACCCAGACCTGAGGGGCAAAACCCTGATTCTTAAGTTCACTGAAGTTTGAAGACCAGTGAGGGCTTCACATCCCCATCGTTCTTGAGTTGCATGCAGTTGCAGGCCCAGGTGGACTAAACCTGCTTTTTTCCTGATACCCACTGACTCTCTGACTGACTCAGACATTAGTCAAATGAGGAAGGAGAGAAAAGAAGGAAGACACCACAATAAAGAAAGGAAAGCAAACAAATTCTTAAAAATTCAAAGCACATGCCTGACCATATATAGGTAGAACCATAAGAAACTGGCATTTTTATAGGTCAAAACCAGCTGAATATTAGCAACC